TGGTTTAACAACTGTTAATATTATATTAATAGGCTCAGCTCAAGTAGCTAAAATGGTAAAAAAATGTTGTTCTTTTAAAGGCTGGAGGTGACTGAAGATACTGAAAGCACCCTGGCAGCAATGGATGATTCTTGTCTGAGCTACGGCCTGAGGGAAAGTATCGCTTCCTACCTCTCCTTAACAGGGGATAACAATGCTTCTTTTGCAAGTGCCAGAAAGAAGAAAGCCCAGTCTCTTATATACACAGGGTCCAGACGTAAGAGTGCCCTTCACTTGCCACCTACATACTATGAAGACTAAATGTAAGACAACCAGGGGAAAAAAAAAAAAAAAAAAAAAGGCAGCAACTGAGGGGTTAGAAGAGAAACCCAGAGCATCCTGTGGTCCTGCAGTCCTTCGACAGCTGAGAGTTACAAGCACACCAGCGATGATCAAATGCTGACAATGCTTCTGCATTTTCTCTTCTGAATGTTAACCAGAGCCCTTCTTAAGAGTGCTATCTGAGCCACGGCATATGCTGGGAACATTCTCCACCTGAAATTAGAACCTGCTCACAAGCAGCATAAACTGAAATAGACTCAAATCAAGAGCTAAGTGAGGCAGATGACTCTTCAGCAAGGGTGATGCCCACCATTGTACAAAGGTGATTGCATAGGGAAGGACTAACTACAGCTCAAGAACTTAAATAAAGTCTTACTCTGGTATTCTCCACAAGGCTGAAAACCGTCTTTAGAGAACCCACCTACATCGAGAAAAGGAGTCTTTTTCTTCTCCATATACATTCATTCATTGTCATTGACAGTGGGTCAGAAAGTCATCAGTAACCCCAAGATGGTATCTAACATCCAGCATCCAAGAAACATCTGATTATATTGACTCCATACTTATATCATTTTTACCTTTCAGGGGAAAAAAATAAAATCATTGCCTTTGCAAGTGGCATTTAATTCAACGGCTGGTAATGGCCAGCAGTGTCAGAAAGAGGTCACAAAATTAAGAACAGGCTTAACTCACTGAGGAGCTCCTGCTTATGTCTGAGATTGGAGCACAGGTATATCCAAAAGCATAACTCAGCTGCTCATAGTCTAGCAAATATGCATCAGAGAATAAAGTGGTTTCTAAGTGAAAAATAAAATGTGATAATATTATGCCTAACTGCAAGGGTAGGTGTGCAGAGGTGTGACCTTTAATGTGTAGAGGACCAGACTTTAACCCCATCTCCTGAAGGCACCCCAATATTTATGTATAATATTTATATTAACAGCAGCTTTCTTTTAAATAATTAAACTAAGAGATCAAATCAGCAAAGTGGATGTTCTGTATTTCTTGTCTGAAGAGGGTTATGTCAAATAGTAATGACACATTTCATCAAAGTGCTTAAAGACTGTAACTGGGATATCTGAAATTTCAGAGAGTAGAGAGTTTTTCTGTATATATGTATCCTTTGCTAAGTTATAAAGGAGCATGGTCCTTTGAACCTGATGTGTGATTGCTTTCTAAACCAAGTAGTCACATCTGGGGGTGTTAAATGCTGCAGTCTATGTTCTCAAGTTGAGATCTTTTCAATCCAATATTCTGTCATATCTTTTTGCACATATTTGAGTAATGAAGGTTTAGGGAGATAGGGAATTGAGTTTATATATATATATTTTTTCCTTCTCTTAGCACAAATCTGTGTGCTCTTTAGATCTTTTAAGAAATCATTTGCACTAGCAAGAGAGATTCAAAGATCAAATTAGTTCACAGCCTATTTAAACGCATTTCAAAACTTAAAGGGTGAATGTAATTTGGCTGATAAACATTGAACACCACAAAGCAAAGTGAACTCAGGAACTCTAGATGTTTGTATAATCTCATTACTGTTACTGATCATTACTATGTTATGGTGTCTGCATTTTATCCAATGAAACATATATAGGGAGCATTACAGATTTCAAAGCCATGACTTGTATTTATTAATTAAAATAATATCCAGTACAGTAGTTACTTTCAGAAAATGGAAAACCTAGCACGCAATTAGTACAAACACCCAGCCTTGTAATGACACTTCCAGAAGGTGTCTTTGATGGAAAGCAACAAAAGAATCCAGGAGCCCATGTAACTGGGCAGCAGTTGGAACATGCTGTGTAGGAAGGGGATAAGACATGTTCTGATGATGACAGGTTCACACAATCAGGGTCAGGTTGAAGGGGACCTGTGGAGGTCACCGGGTACAACCCCTTGCTCAAGTAGGGCCACCTAGAGCTGGTTGCCCAGGACCATGTACAGATGGTGTTTGAATATCTCCAGGGATGGAGACTCCACAACTTCCCTGGACAACCTGTGCCAGCACTTGGTCACCCTCACAGTAATGACATGGAAAGGTGACAAAAACTTATGAATTGTGCCATAAGGGATGGCTGGATTTAACAGATGGTTATGGGGAAATTCTGTGAGGTCTGGCCATTTCTCACAAATAACTGAAAGACTATATTGGGGACCTTTTGGGGAGCACAATCTTGCAAGGGCCAACAGCACCAACGTGATTCTATACAAATCTGAGATTACCCAAGAAATTATATCAGACATAGCAAATTTTGGTAAGGATGTAGCAAAACTAGGACCAACAGAAAAAGTAACCAGAAGTGGTTGGTTTGTTTAAGAGGGAATGAGGCTGGTAAAAAAAAAAAAAAAAAAAAAGGAGATGGGGAAAAAGGGGAAGAAAGAGGATCTAAAGTGTAGCTAATCATAGGATCTGGGATATTTAGGGTCCGTGTCAGACAGCCCTGCACCTAATTGCAGTAGTTACCAGCAGGGCAATAAATCTGCTCTTTCCACCACTGGCTGACCTGCTTCCATGACCAGGAGAGACCTGATGTCTTCCCCCAAGTTGGGTGCAGGAAGCCTGGGAGCTTTCCTCCTGACACGCATCAGAGAATGCATGGAGGGGACACATAACATATCAGCCCTCTTCAGCCTCCTGCAAGAGATGGAGGCAATCCATACCATTGATTCACTCTTCTATGTCAAAATTGCGGTGGTAAATTAATCAATTAATCAAAAGAATAAGTCAAACACCATGTTAATACTCTTAAATTATTTAAAACAGGATCATAATCACCGAGACTACATTTTTCTGATCATACTTCTGAAAGATTAAATAAGTTATAGAAAGTCCCCATAAGCTTTTTCCAGATTTGTTTCAAAAAAAAAAATATCTTTCACAGGCCAGACATAGGAAACTCAAAGACATTTTGCTATTTCAGGTGCATGTCTTCTTGCAGAGAAAGTTTCATACATCTCATCTCTCTCCATGATAAGAAAGAGTATTGTTTTTTATGCATGACAAAGACCTAAACAAGGAGGACAAAACTAACTTTTGCAGAAAAGCTTTATTGCTTCATGGGATTTTCCCTCAGGAAAGCTGTATCTGATATATATTCTCAGTTTCATGCATCACTTCATTAAAAAAAAAGAGCATATTTTTAAGCCACTGCTGTTACTACTTACTTTTTATTTTATTGTTGTATTTCACAAGAAAACTAAATCCATCATGACACTGTGAGGATAAATACTTAACATTACTTTGCAATAAGTGGAGATCCTGCTTTTGCTGACACAGTGGTCTGCACAATCCCCAGGAAGAAAATTGTTGTTACAAACACCAGATTGGTGGGAAGAATTGATACACCTGCCTGCTCACTGCACTTGCCACTGTTTCCCACTATTCTATGACCTGCTGTAGGAAAAAAGGAGCAGTTCAAACCTTATTTTATAAAAGAGGAGATGTAATGTGGAACTACACCCCAGCAATAACGACAAGCAAAGTCCTTGCATTTCACTTTCATCAGTTGCTCAACTGGTAAATTGCACTGTATCCTGTTATGGCTTTTACAGGGCCACATCCCAAGACATTTCAGTAAAGGGTCTTCAGAGAAAGAGCAGGATGGAACTGTACTCTGAGAACAAGGACTCTGGATTTACTAGCAAATCAACTGCTATGCCCAGAGCTGAGCAAAGATCTAGGAACAGTGTGAGCAGTTATCTGAGCATGACACAAAAAAACAACTACTGAATATCAATTTTCAATAACTTCTCTTGCCTTCCCCACTAGAGTGAGGCAATTAAAATAATCGTATTCAGGACGCAAAAGGCAAATGATATTTCCTAGGGCAAGGAGACACTAAAAAAAAATCAAGTAGTAAATAGAGATGTCATTATTTCAAGGCAAGATTTTATTTAATTGGCTCCTAGTTTTCCTGGACAGAGAATTCTTTTCCTCTGCTCATGTTTCCAAGCGAACACTGTGAGCAGAGAGAGCATTTTGTCCAGTACCATTTCTGCTTGATTTAAAAATCTCCACTGAAAATTAAGCCTCATTTCAGAGAACACTACTCACATCTGAGGCTGTAAAGATCAATGGTAGTATCGATGCTGAGAAAGGTGACTTCAAAGTCCTGAGATTCAACATGGGAAGGGCTGTAAAAATACAGGATCGCTTGGGATGACTGTGAAAACGTCCAAGCCGACAGCAAACAAGCCTGTGGGTAAACGGATTTTTACTCTCTCTGAAACTTGCTTTTTCTCTTAAATGAAATCTGTCATGAGACCAGATAAAAAGATTGGATACTTTCAACATGCGGATGTTTGGCTCCTCAGTTTTAGAGTCTAAAAACTGCTGATCAACAACCGTATTTATGGAATGGAAACTAACCTGCTGTACCTATAAGTTATGAAACACGACTATTTATATAATAGACAAAAAACCACAGTGACGAAAACCAGATTCTTACTATGACTAAATCAATCACCAAAGTGCATCTCTAGTACATCTTTATGAAGCACCCACCTCCTGGAGATAGCAGTCACAGGTGAGATGAAAAATAACTCTAGCAATAACAGCCCTGTAAGTGCTGCCAAGGTATGGATGAAATAAAACTGGCACCCACACACTGCAACATCCTCACATCTATAACAACATCCGTTCACAAAGAAGTCAAAGTGGTAGGAATGGGACTTACCATCAACAACACCCTCCTGAAGAGGTCCATATCCTCTGCATCTGTGAGCAGGTGAATGCTGGTAACATCTGCCCCGCCACGGTCAGCTCCCAAAGAAACCTGGTTTGGATCTCCTCCAAAGCTAGCAATGTTCTGCTGCACCCACTTCAGAGCTGCCAGTTGATCCAAAAGGCCAGCATTTCCTCTTGCCTCAGGAGAATCTATTGTGGAAAATACATAAATAGGTCTGAAATGAAATAAAACTATAAACATTTGAAGTTTTGTTTAAATGTTACATTTTTAGCAGTGCTTGCAGCTGAATTTTGAGAAAACTGATACTGGAGATTAAAAGCCTGAAGTGATCTCTTCTAAGGTTATAACTACATTAATTAACTCCATTTCAGTTTTTACCACTCCAAGAATTTAAGAGAGTGCTATAGCTACCATATACGCTTATTCATTAAGCCCCTGAAATAATCAGATATTTTGCAAGATTTCCCTACCCAAACAACCAAAAGTTTCATATTTTAAGCATGATACAAGCCAGAGTAGAGGACACTGTGGTGTTTATCTGCAAAAAAAAATATTCTGCACCCATACTTGGGGTAGGATGCAACTAAGAGGAATTAAACATTATTCTGTTTAATTTTCAGGACTTTCAAAAACATCTGATCATCTCTTTCTCTAGACAACATTCTGCAGGAGCTTTTTATCCAAGACCCATAATATAGTGTTAATGTATTTCATTTCAAGGCAAGTTAATAAAAATACAAGAGATGACAGTTCCAAGAAAGTTAATATAATTAGCAGTTCTTCCAATGCATCCTTGGAGGTGCCTAATTGTCTGTCCTGATTACAGAAAAATAGTGCTCCAACTTCTAAGCTTCATTTGGACACCTCATGGCAGGAGACATGAATCCAGGCTCAAGTATCCAGAAACTAATGCCATGGGATTCTTCTGAATAAGTAGCGCTGTTTTTAAATTAATTAAAAATAAAAAAAAAAAAAAAAAAAAAAAAGAAAATCAATGTGTTCGCCAAATGCAATTGACCATTTCCCTGGAATACACTTAATTCCATCTTTCTGCTTCCTACATCCCTTTTGCACTCACCTGTCTGACCAATCATAAGTCACATCATCTTGCATTTCTTTATACATGTACAGATATTATTTTATAAATTATAATATCTCAATGTATATCCTTTGAGACTGATCTATGTCTAACTGATAGAGAACTGAATTATATGTATTTATATTTTTGTTTCCATGAAAGTGAAAGAAAAATAATTAACCATGTACTCCCATGCTTAGCTATCACCAGTGAAAAGACCACTTTCTTTTCAACACCAACTGGGGATAACCTGATACTTTGATTAATAGGAAAATAATGCTGAAAGCATCTAATTATGCAAGCCCCTAGGCAAGTTGAATTTTATATCAACAAAAGCAGAAATAAGTAATTCCTACACACTCCCTAAGAAAGGAGTAGAAAATTATTCACTGTCCACTTCTTTTTAATTCACAATGAGCCATTCATTTTTAATTATTTTAAATTCTCCACATTCAAAACTTGGGAAAAAGAAAAACAAACAAACAAACAAAAAAAAAACCCACAAAAAAAACCACCACAAAAAAACCCCCAAAAGCAGAACAAAACCAAACCAAAACAAACAAAAAACCCAAGAAGAAAAGACAGAAAAGACAGGGATAGAAACACAGCTGAAACTATTTCTTTCTTCCATGGCCAAGACCAAATAGTACAATTTAATGGTAACGTTAGGCTCAGAAACTAGAGAATCAAAAGGCATAGATAGCTGAATAAAAAGCTGCCACATTGTGGAGAGGTAGCCATGTCTCAGGCTAAGAACAGTTGAAAGCATCCATCCTGTAGCAGATATCCATACGCCTACCATAATGAATTATTGACCATCGAGACCAATTTAAGAAGCAGAGTAGAATATAGAGGAGATCAGATTACTGATAGCCTTGTAGATCTTACAGATAGATACCCACATCACAATAGCTATCACTAGAAATGCCCTTTCAGCAAAAGCAAATGGCCCCAGGAAGTACAACCTTCCATCTAGAGCCACAGTTTCAGATGGTCAGGCCAAGTCACACCAGTAAAGTCGTAGAGGAAAAGCTTTCCCTGCTCCACTCTATGCTGTTGTAAAGGAAACTTCATTTGAAGGGTTTGCTGCATGCCTCATGAGACCTCTTGAGAGGAAGTGAAATCCATGTAAACCTTTTAGCTGCACAATGTGCTTCGCTACCGGTATACTAAACAACAAGACCAAGGAGGGAAATATAACCAGTTCCTTTTTGCCACAGCAAAAACCACAGTCAGGTTGTGAAATGTATCACACTGGGGAACAGAGGCATGCATGGACATTCACAGTATTTAGATGACAAAAACTGCATCTGCCAGGAATCTTTTCCACTGCTTAAGTGATAGGCCTGGATATACATCTCAGAAGTGGTCTTTTTGCAGGAAAAGATCACATTCCTGAGGACCACAGGAGAATTAAAAGAAACTGTCATTCAGAAGGAAGCAAACAATGACAAACATATGCATTTTTGCTTTGACTAAACTGTAAGAGAACAATAGTGATAAATTTAAGCATGAAAATCATTCTGGTTTATATGATTTCATGGACTCTTAAAAGAATCAGGTCTAAAAATGTAACTGTCTTCTCCACACTCTTGCCATTCATATAACTGGCAATTGACCTTAACTTTTCTGGGTGCAAAGCCAGAGATGAAGACACCAGTAAGAATGTGCATCACTTTTTGCTACACTAGTGAGTGATAGCAAATTAAATTAAACACCCTCTATACTTAGAAGAACAAGAGCTCTTGGACTCCCTGCAAAAGCCCTGTCGATCAGAGATCAAACCACCTACAGAACCAAAAAAAAAAAAAAAAAAAAAAGAAAAGAAAAGAAAATCTGGAAATCTTTTATTTTAACTACCCTTCCTCTACTTTCTTAGTTGGGCAATGAAACTGATATTGCTCACAGGATCATAACTTCTGTTTGTAACTTCAGAGCCTTCTAACAGTCCTTCTGCTAATGTCCCCACAATCCCAAGGATGCGCTCATGCCTCCTTTGGAACTGATCGCAAAACTTCCAAGGGACCAGAATTTGTCCAAGTCTTTCAGTGAGAATGGAAACATCCCTGGTATATCATTAACAAATCCTATTCCCTCTGGAGCAACAGGATTTTCCCAAATGCACATCAATGTTTTCCCACAAGGGAAGAGGCCAGGAAAGACTGCACTTATCCCTGGCTGCATCTCAACAGTACAGAGAAGGAGAAGGTCCCTGAACACTCCCTATCTGTAATTGACTACCTCTACCTAAAGGTTTGCAAACATCCAGCTCATGCACTGCTGTTTTGGGTCATGTGTACAGATCCCCATTAAAATGAGGCCGAAGAATTCATTCTGATCCCTAAATTATGGACCATCATATAAATACTGCTACATGATATTCAGCCCAGCTAGCAGTTTCCACTTAGGAAGAAACCTAGGTGGTGTTCACAGGGCTGAAGGAGATTAGTGGGTAGCGCGTGGGCAGTGCTGCGTCATGGAAGCTCACACAGCACATACCCACCCTGCATTTGGCTCAAGCCAAAATGAAGCCACGGTATCACTTTCATAAGCATCTGATTCGCCCTGATGAAAACAGTGATTCTTTCCCCAGATACACCTGTTACCAACTTCATATCTAAATGAGTAAGGAGTTTGTAGTGCCAGCTCTCTAGTTACTGAATGAAAAACGGGCTTTGCTGGGAGTGAGCTTTGAAAAAAAACAGTAAAATAAAGAAGGGAAACAATAACCAATAGCTGCAGCTATAACCCTAAACTAGGCAAAATCCACCCAGTGTCACTAGCAGTAAATACTCAAAAGAATCATGAGGCAAAGTATGTAGGTCTGGTATTTGCAAACATAGCAAATACAACCTCCCAAAGGTTAAAGAGGTGCTAAAATACCCACTGGAGAGACCAAGGATTGCCACTGGACCAATGGAGCCAGAGCTACATTTGCAACTGCTGCATTTTCTGTCCATGGTCTCCACCTTAAATTCTTCTGCCCCAGCCAGAATTGAAAGATGGCAGAAAGGTGTTCTCTGCTTGCTTAAACAGGCAAATCTATAAAAGGTAAAATAAAAAAAAAAATCCCAAAGACCAGGTGGCACTACCATAAAAGTTTAGGAACATGTGAATGTGCCTTTTCATGTCTATGTGCCTCTTTGCACAACATAAAATCCTGTACGTAATGGGAATTTGTATAATTTTTAATGGCAATTGGTATTAGGAGGCAACAGGAGAGCAAAAGTGCACCTTACACTAGAGTGTGGGGAAGGGATGCAAACAGAGAACATGCAAATATTCAGTCACATCCAGGACAGTAAAGGGGCTAACAGAATTGAAATTAAACATGGCAAGTCCTTCAGAGAAGTCAGGTTGAATTACTGAGGAACCATTCAACAACCTTTCTGATACACTTTCCATACTTTCATGTCTTTCTTACCATTCACCTGCAGTTATCACTCTCTGCCTCTTCCTCACCCTGACATGGGCACAATCAACCATTAGCAAAATTTCAAGGATGTAACAGCTGGAAGCTAGAGACATTGAAAAACATATCCACAATGACTTCACACTGAAATTAGCAGGAATTTCAACGCCTAACCTATGTTCGTGTGTGTCTGCAAAATCCAATATGCACAGTTTCATCTGCAAACGGAAGTCTGGCCAGTGCTTTGATAGACATGTTTGCGTTTTGTTTGTCCTTGTCTCTTTACCTCCAGCCACTCCCCTTTCTCTTCAGATCAAGTCCCCACCATTTCTTGGCAATTCTCCCCAAATTAAAAATCACTGAAAGATACAGGTTTCTCAAATTTAAATAAAGGTTTGGGTTTTTTTTAAATTAGAAACAGAAGTGTTATACAATGCAATTTAGCCCATAGTTGTGTTTGTTCTATAAATCCATGACTTACCAGTACTAAGGAAGCCAAAAACACCGACCCGGTAGTTTGCTGTTACAACAATGATGTTACTGACAGCAGCTAGGTATGATCCATCTAGGGTTGCCTTTCCTGCCTCAGCACTGTAACTCCCTCCATTGTGGAAGAACAGCAACACTGGCATGCTTTTGACCTGCCGGGACAACAATCAGGTTAGTATACCTGTAGTCAACTTTTTCTGTAGGTAACTGATGAGAACACAAGTATCTTCCCCGTTAAAATTACCAATGCCATTCATAGCTCTTTAACAGCGACCACAATGAGAGGATATAGAATCATAGAATGGTTTTGGGTTGGAAGGGACCTTAAATATCATCTAGTTCCAACCCCCCTGCCATTGGCAGGGACACCCTCCACTAGCTGAGGTTGCTCAAAGCCTCATCCAGACTGGCCCTGAACACCTCCAGGGATGGGGCATCCACAGCTTCTCTGGGCAACCTCTTCCAGCACCTCACCGCTCTCACAGATGGCTATATCTGGCCATCTGTCTGAAATTCTGGGGCTAAATTGTCTGCAGTGACCTATATGTCATTAAAGAGCATACTATGTCCAGTATAAAGAAGATTTAATGGCACCACTATGTTCCACCAGACAACAACTCTACTAGGTCAGCTCAAAGCAGATGATGCTGCTGACTTGGCCATCGAGCACGTGGTGAGCTTGTCTTTGCTGTAACATGTATCCTTGACACAGACACACAGGAAAAGTTCAAACAAGTGGGAGACAGGAGAGGAAAAAGGCCTTGGTGTTGCTCCATCTTGAGCAGGACTAGATCAATATGCTGTCTCACAAGCAGAGTTCGTTGCCTGGTGTGCAATAAGCCAATACACGCACAGAGCTGAGATATTGATTATTGCATGTCTGCCCACAGGTGGGTGCTAGCTGGTAATCCACAAAGCTAGCACACCTGGTTTCAGCCACATTGTGCATTTATACAGTTAAAAATGTTAGTGCCACATCCTTCCAACTACAATTGGTTAGTTTTTCTTTCTTCTTAGCTGCAGTTGGCTAGTTCTTTTCTCACTTCGATTTAAAAACACGGTGTTCCTTAAATTTCCTGTGCATGCTCAGTAAGTGGGGGTCTTAATTCAGGAGGGTTGTCCTGACACTTGGAGGTGTGATTTTCAGTATTATAATTATATCAAAATGAGGATAGCTCACTTTTGGACGGTGCTAATCACTAACTTGGCTGACTAATCCAAACATACTGATTATTTTCCAGGATGTTCCTGGAAAGGGTAAATCTAACAAACCTTAGGTGATTAAAAAGTTTTTTTCAAAAGTCCCAAAGACAGTCTTCCTAATTTACACAGAGAGTACACATTTGTTATGTTAGCTTCTAACTTAACTTGCAACAAAAAGGTGTGCCAGGCTCCTTCCTACCCTTCAGTCTTCAGCACTTAAACACTGACTAGGCTCCAAAATCTCACTTGACAAGAGCTCATCAATGCTCCTTGAATCCCTGTGGAGGTTTTCCCCTACTAGATATATAAGGGGTCCTGCAGAGAGGACTTTGTCTCTAGATGGGAGCACAGAAGCAGCCTGCCCCGAAAGAGCCCAACAGGACTCCCGGAACAGGAAGGAGCTACGATGGGCAGCTGTGCATGTTAGCACTCCTTGCAGAGCCACAGGATTTTGCTCATGAACAGAAGCTTTTTCCCAAAGCAGCACCACATCTGTGTGAAACTCCTCTGCACACACAGCAGGGCTGCAGCCAGGCTGCTGCTTCATGAGCAGCACAAAAGCAGAACTGCCCCAGGAGACCTCAGCGTTTACTAGTAGATTACAGCTCTGTCAAGATGACACTTGAAAGAAATACTTGTGAAACATACGGAGGGGTTCTGTTTTACTTTTTTTCACTTTTTTTTTCCTTCCTGCTGCAAAAAGCAGAATAACCTGCTCTGATGCTAGAAAAGCTTTTTTCAAAGTGTAATCTCAATTTTCCATTCATCAGTTTCATCCCCTATTGCCCACTTTGGGACTATCCTGAAGGAGGCTCCTCTCTCATCTGCTCAGCAGCGGGTCACACACACCCACCCGTCCTGCTTTCTGCTTTGGCAGCTGCTTGTGTTTTTCAAAGAAAGGCTGGTGGCCCCAGCAGCAGCATCAAAGTACATCTGAGGTTTGTTTTTGCCTGCAGCTAGAGGGCATTGGGCTCTGTTGCTGTTATTTTCTGGATGGCGCTTAGCTAAACACAGCAGTTCCATCTGCGCTGGCAAAGGATGTCTCCAGCAAAAATGCAACTGGCTGGATGGGAGAAGCAGAAGAGAATTGATGGGTGCAGACTCCTGCAAAACTGCAGGATAGGAGGTGAACTCTCCTCAGCTGCCCTTAATTTGTGATGATAGTGTGCAATCCTCACTTATCTATCTGGAGAATCACTTCAGAGGCTTCCTGTGAACACAACAATGCTACTAGGAAAAACCCAAGAAATTGCAAGCACTGAAACATGCTGCTCTTTCTCAGGAACTTCTGCTCCTGAATAGAAATTGCCTAACTCAGTGTCTTGTCCTTGGTTCCCATTTCTGCACTGCACACAGCACAGAGAGCAATGAGGGCAAAGAAAGAAAAAGAAAGAATCTCTTTTCACGTGGAAATTAATTCTAAAATACAACCACACTTAGCCACGTCAGCTAAAAAAAGCATTAAACATGATGTTAAGCCTGCTCCATTCCCATCAGCTCAGCATGGTTAAGTCTGAGGTTTTAACTAGGCATCTCCCACCTGTTCACAGCCTGCACAGTACCATGACCTCCGGCTGCCCTGTACGTTGGATATTACATTATGCTGAGCAACTTTACGCAATGCTCTAGTGATGAAAAGCTTAAGAAAGGCAAAGATGGGAGATAAAAATGGCAAAACAAAGCCAGCTGCAACAGATATGGAGCAGTTCAGAGGAAGATTTAGCACTAGGGCTGTGCCTAGTGCCAAGTGTCTGGAAGCAGTATTACCGTTTCTAGTCCACATCGAGCAAAGACAGATCCCTCTCCTATGCAAAGGTAAACTATCATGAAAAATAACTTGGGGTTTAATCCCAAACGCTTTCAATCTCAGAGCTCATGGATTTTGGCATTTTATCGGAGAGCTCTTTAATAGAATTGCCTTCTCATTTCTTGTTAGCCATTTTAACAGCATAGCACCACAATTCTCATGCTGTAATTGAGCTATGCCTCACAATAAGAGATATTTTATATCAGCTATCTATATGTATATTTGGTAGCAAATTAATTTTTTACTGCACACTAGCTGCTCGATAATTTATTTTGAATATGTTAATTTCCTTCAAGCCTTGTTCTCAATCATATTAAACCAACTACTGCAATTAAATCTGTGAAGCAGAAGACATGCAAGACCTTAACCAAAGCCTGCTGGAGCCAGTCTCTTCACCCACCACCCCTTGGCACCACGCTGAGATGCAGCACCGCCAGCATCAATGCCAGGCTGCAGTGGGGCACATGTGGGGCAATGCCGAGCAGAGTGGGGCCAGCACATTCCTTGCAGACAGGCCACAGCTGCCTCATGGCTACTGCCCAGTGCAGAGTTGTCATAGAATCATAGAATGGTCTGGGTTGAAAAGGACCATAAAGGTAATCTAGTTTCAACCCCCCTGCTGTGGGCAGGGTCGACAAACACTATAGCAGGCTGCCCAGGGCCCCATCCAGCCTGGCCTTGAATGCCTCCAGGGATGGGGCATCCACAACTTCTCTGGGCAACCTGTTCCAGTGCCTCACCACCCTTTGTGTGAAAAATTTCTGCCTAATATCCAACCTAAATCTCTCCTCTCTTAGTTTAAAACCATGACAGCTGGCTGAACATGAGCCAGCAGTGTGCCCAGGTGGCCAAGAAGGCCAGTGGCATCCTGGCCTGCATCAGCAACAGTGTGGCCAGCAGGACTAGGGCAGGGATTGTGCCCCTGTACTCGGCACTGGTGAGGCTGCACCTCACTTGGCCTTGTTGAACCTCATTAGGTTCTCCTGGGCCCACTTCTCCAGCCTGTAAGTAGCTGTTTTGCTCCATATTTAGCAACAAAACACAGACAGTCACACTTTGAGGTATAAAATCTGTGCAAAGGCTTCCAGCTGAGACATGGTTGGATGGCTTCCTGGCTTAGTGAGTGGGGGGGATGCCTCTGGGGAGCCCAGCAGCTCCACCGTGGTCTCACACTTGTAGGGGCTGAGGTTCCATGTGCAGACACTCAAGGGGCAAAGAAGTTCAGCATCCACCAAGAAGCTGAAAGTCAGCTGGAAGTTTAAAAGGATTTATAATATTCAGAAGCATCTTCTCCATCCTTCTGTAAAACACTTAATGAGCTACGTAGCATGGATAGATTTATACTCCACCAAGCCAGGCAACCTCAGGTGATTTTACTACCGTACATTATTGCTCCATAAAGAATTGAGTGCAACAGGGATGATGTGGTAAGGATGGGAATAACACATGTAGGGGACGGGATGAGAGGGGGTACACTTTCTATTCTTATTTAGTGGAGAGTTTCAGCTCTTAATATTACATTTTAACCCTCTGCAAATCAAGCTGAAGCACATCTTTGCTTTGCTAGTGTGACAGGTGGTGATGGTTATAGATGGAAAACAGTTTCTCAGAAGTGCCAGTTTTATTTGGAGGGTTATGTGGTGTATGTAGCTATAGAAGTAAAATGAGGTGATGTCATTCACCTTCTTCACTGCTTGACACTTAAAAGATTCCTTCAGTAGCTGGCAGCAGTCTCTGCACCGTGCTCTTGCTCAGGCTCAAAATGCTCCCAAACGACCTCTGCATTTGCTGCTCTCCAGGAGATTTTATATTCAGTATTTGCTAGCTAATTTAACTTTCCATGGGCTGAAAATACATAACTATAGCTCTCTATACGTGACTAAAAATAGAGCTCACCACAAAAAGAAACAGGAAAATGCCATGCCTTCTGCTCCCAGCTACTTCTGCAAAAACACAGGTTTTGGTTCTCTCTTGGGCTAGACTTACTCATGTGAAACTGATTGACTTGATCAGACCTACTTCTACCTTACACCTCTACAAAAGACAGGAAGGATTCAGTTCTCAGTACCACCAAGGAGAAAAGACAGTCCTATTTAGTCTATCAGATCATAGAAAATACAGTGCTTTCAAACAAACTATCCTGAAAGCAGCACTTAAGGCAGAGATGGCAAACTGCCTGGGACAGTGACCTGATGTTTTCAATAAGCCATGACTGCACTCAAGGCAAAATGCTAGGGAGGAAACACTGCTGGTCTTTCTGGTGATTAAACGGACATGCAAGGGACTGTGTGCTGCTGTCAGATAGCTAGACCAGCTCTTTCCAGACATGCAGTATGACAGACTCATAAATTTTTATTTTAACTCCCGTCACCTTCTGGAAATTACCAGTACTGTGGAAAGAATAACACTGTTCCTGTGCTCTGGACTCACTCTTCAATGGGATTCTCATGTTATTCAGCATCTTTGTCCCCAGCTCTCCAGGGGTTTGGCCAATTATCTAAGCTTGGCTCTAACTCAAAGCTTTATTTTATATCTATTTAGAATGAGAAAATCAAGAGCTTTCAAATGACAATTTCTCAGGTTGTACCCATTGGCCCAGTCATCTTTAAAGAGTCTATTTTTGCAGCATTGCTTACTACCCTCATTCCTCAACAGAGATCCCATGGATTTTAACAGAGGAACGGTAAAGATGAGTGTGAAAAAACCCCATCTGCTGCTGCTCGACTAGTAGTAAGTGTTGATGTGATGTGTTGTACTGCCTTATCATCTCCTGGGCATTGCCACATCAGGGACATGGCAATTTCTGTCCTTAATTTCTGCTCCTTTGCTGCCACCTTCTTCTTGTGTTTTGTTTCCCTCTTTGTCTCTTATTTCTAGCTTTTTAACTTTCTACCCTCCTAGTTACCCAAACATGGCTCACTGAAGGTATATAGGGAATACTCTTGCACCAGTAAAAACAAGAGTGCCTAATTCAACATTGCAGGGCTTCGTGAACACCACATGAAAAACAATCATTCATGCTAATTAAAAGCACTTTGAAAAGAAACAGTGTTCAGCTACAAAAAAATTTGACTCATCTTCTGCTTACAGTGGTGGCAGGAACGAAGACGTTCAGATACAGGCAGTCTTCACTGACTGCATATGGTGGGGCTTCTCCATCTCCTGGCTGCCAACAAGCTGCCCTAGAGACAACAGATTGAGAAAATTACAATAAAAAGGCTTGTACTATCTTTCGACTGCTGCTATTTCCTTATAATTTGATGCATAAGTTTATAAAATCTTTAGAGTTATAGATCTCAATCACATTTAAAACCAAGCCCACCTATACCTTAGTAACACACATGTGGGTTTGTATATACACATACAAATGCAAAAATCACATTGTATATTCAGGTCTAGAATCCTTCCCTCAGAAAACCAGCCTCATTTTAAAAAGATTAGAACTTAAAAACAATCTTTCAGAAATCTCATGCTTTATATAAACTGCACAAAATTAGCACCAAATGTAAGGGGAGTGGGACCAGGGGTCTCAGGCACAGCTCTGCCCTGGTACTGCCCACACATCTATATAATCCACTCTTTTGTTGAAATGCCAGTTATGTATTTTAATTTCTAATAGTCTGTGGGATAAACTCATTTATATTTATTTTAATTTCTAATGGTCTGTGGGAAAATACGGTGTTTAAAATTTTAACACATTTTTAAAATCTCTTTGCTCTAATCATCATAGCAGATCATCAACAGCGCCCAGCAATGTTAAAAGTAACTTTTCAGTAGGAATTCAGCCAGCCATGCACAGAAAAATAATTTTCTGGCCATCATCTGTACGAGATTCATATGTTCAAGCTTTCTCCACAACAATACTCAAGTGGATGATCTTTGCAGTTTAGATATAAGCTATTGTGAAGCTAGTTCCTCCTACTTCACAGCCAGGTTTGCATCATATAATGAGTTATGGAAAACCATCACAATTTCTTAGGGAAGAAGCTAAAAAAGTCTATGGAAAAGATAGTAATATCTCATAGAATTATTTCTAAATTATAATTTTTAATGCCCTTGTAGAATTTTACACTGAAGATATGAAGAATTTAATAGAAAACTCCAAGGAAAAGGACCAGCTTTAATGCAATTCTACAAAATCTTTCCATAAGGGAGGTTCCTAGAATGGTGATATCACTCAACAGCTTTCACACTGACATAGAGAAGCACATAATCTCCAGCCAAAACTACTTAAGCCATTTTAGGCAGACAAAATCCAAATTCCCGGGTAGGAACCCAGCCAGGACAACAGGTCTAACACTATTAATCACGAAGACTTCAACAGGAGAGCAGGAATCATCACCCATACTCATGTCTATTTTTTTTTTTTTTTAGCAACTCATCAAGATTTCCAGCACCTGGAGCTCCCAGGATGTCCTCATGCCAGGACCGACTCCGGGGAAAGGCTGCCACCTGCTGAGGCAAGCCCACAGCTCCTCCCGCAGCTGGAGACTCCAGCAGCTGGAGGAGGTTTTTTGGTGTTTTTCAGTTGTGGGTTTGGTTTTTTTTTTAATTCTTTTATCAGGTCCAGGATTCTAAATAAATATTTCTCTTTTGTCAGTAATGGCACAGTGCTAACATTAATTTCTCATATAAATACTGTGCAATGTCAGTATAGAGCCCTAAAAAAAAATAATTGTCAACACTTTTTATACACACAGAAACTGAGGTCCCTCTGATTCTCCAAGTGCACCTCCGCGGTGCTAAGATCAAAGAATTCTTTTTTTAACCTTAAATGAGTAATAGAAGATCGTGGCCAAGTTCTTAATTGGCCTAAGAAATTACTGACAATCCAACAGACAGAAGCAGATTAACTAAGGTCCCTAAATTGCTTTGCAAATCTCAGCCAGGCTGTTCATTGCAATCCCAGGTCTTCAAAGAGAGACCACAGAGGCAGATGGGTCTTACCAAAGCCCTGGCAGACACCACGCTGTGGCTGCAGACACAAAGAGCTGATGGTGTGTGTGTCAACCTAACATCATTGTGCACCCAAGGAAACAAAAAGCTACCTCTCACCAGATCCCTCCAACATACATGAGGATGAGTGGCCACTGTGGTTGTGCTCTTAACACCCCTGCAACTCAGGCACAATCTGAAGGATGAGACTATCAAAGCCCAGATGCTCTTTCAACTCCCTAAAACAATGCTGCTCCTCTTTCCACTGGATTCATCACAGGCTTTGCTAGAAACCTTTGGAGACAAATCCTGAGTAATGGAGGGACCAAACAGCTTTCACACAGCTGATAGGTCTCTAAACCTGTAGCCTCAGGGTGCATTTCCACCAAAGCAGGTGGTGATTCATTCAGGACAGAAGGGTGCCATCCTCCCAGCTCCCTTATAAAAATCTATCATAGAATCATAGAAAAGTTTGGGTTGAAAAAGACCTTTAAAGGTCATCTAGTCCATCCCCCCCTGCAATGAGCAAGGACATCTTCAGCTTGATCACGTTGCTCAGAGCCCTGTGCCAACCTGACCTTGAATGTTTCCAGGGATGGGGCATCTGCCACCTCTCTGGGCAACCTGTCCCAGTGTTTTACCACCCTCATTTCTTCCTCATATCTAGTCTAAATCTATGGTCTTTCAGTTTAAAACCATTACTCCTTGTTCTATTGCTACAGGCCCTACTGAAAAGTCTGCCCCCATCTTTCTCATAAACCCTCTTTATGTACTGAAAGGCCTTAATAAGGTCTCCCTGGAGTTGAACAAGCCCAACTCTCTCAGCCTGTCCTCATAGGAGACGTGTTCATTCCTCTGATCATTTTTGTGCCCCTCCTCTTGACCTGCTCCAAGAGATCCATCTCTTTCCTGTGCTGAGGACTCCAGAACTAGATGCAGTACTCCAGGTGGGGTCTCAAAAGAGCAGGGTAGAGGGGGAGAATCAGCTCCCTCAACCCACTGGTCACGCTTCTTCTGATACAGCCCAGGACACAGTTGGCTTTCTGGGCTGCAAGGGCACATTTCCAGGTCATGGCCAGCTTTTCATCCACCAGTACCCCCATATACCTCTCCTTTTCCTTAACCATCTAAGCTCTTGACCAGATCAGCTAGCTCAAGGTGTTTGTCACTAATCACATGAGGACAATTCCTGATGTCAGGAATTGAACAGGACTGCATGGCCAGCCGTGGCTGGAAGGGTAACACAGAATCTCAGTAGACCTCAGGTCCATAGTAGCTGTCTCCTAAGGTATTACCTAAAATATTTACAACTTCTGTACTTCTGTCCAAGCCATTTAGCAAGTGTTTCCCTTTTAATAGTTGCTGACAGAAAAGCCTATTTGGGTCCTTCAGACCAATCTCCTAGACACTGCTAAGCATAGAATGTCTACATTATGCCCACAACTTCTGGTTACATCAGCGTTAAAGAACCCCTGTTTGTTTAAATACTGTACAAATTTATGGCTCAGCAGGAGCAAAATGAACTTGTATAAATATTATAATTACCTGTATAAAAACTCTGAATGAAAATGGATTAACGATAGACAGTGGGGAATCATGCATCAATTCAAGGTAATGTACTACAGTTCGCCTTTTTTTCTTGAGGTGCTTGCATGCATTTACATATAGATGGAGAAACTATTCTTTTTGCTAAACAAAATCTGAAACTTGTATTAATCTGTAGCCTATAGGTTCTTTTGCAAGAAACAACATGAATATCATGGTCATCACTCCAGCTACTTTCATACACCTGGATGGAATGAACAAGCACTTCTGCAGATGATCAAAGGGGTTTCTTACCGAGACACAGTAGCATTCCAGGTTTCCACCCAAGCAAACGGCTCTGGAGGACTGAAGCGCCTCTCTGCAAGGGGAGGTGCAGCATACGGGATCCCCAGGAACTGGCTGATATTTCTCCACTCCGAACCAATGCGGATCACCTGGGATTTGCCCACCAGATCTCCATGGGACGGGAGGTACACAGATGGGGTTAAATCCGATTCAGAAATGGGTGGGAATAAATCTGTAAGGGGGGACAGAAGAAAAATAATTTGCTTTTTCAAGTTCGTACCATTTCAGAATTCAAAATTAATCCAATTTCCCCAAATTTTTAACTACTAAGTTGCCTACTTCCCTTCTTTAAATGAAACATAAATAAATTTGAGCTATTCTCTATCTATAAGATACTTCATGCTATGCTAGATATTAGCTGCTGGATACCAACATTTAGCTTTCCAAACTCTTACTCAAACATAAATCTGAGCATTTCTAGAATAAGGGAGAGATTTTCAGGCTTTACCTGAAACATCTTTCATAGAATAGACTTCCTTCATAACACCAGCTTCAATACTAGGTGATACTACTATGATTTCAGGCACTTTTCTGAAGAGTATTTGGGGACACTGTCCCATCCCACTTGGCTAGGGATGGGACAGCAACAGACAACTGTCTAGGAGACATCCATATTGCTTTATGTCTAGTGAGGATTTCCTCCCTCTTCGGCTCTCAAGAATTGTGCACAGGCCACCACAGTTGAATTGCTTCCTCCACAGCCTTTAACCTGCTATTACCTTGTCTCCTGTAGATATACGTAGCTGGCTCTTTGAGTAAAACCCAGCATCTGTGGCCTTGCAGGCTATGTGCACACATCTGGGTATCAGGGTAGAAAAGGCACCTTATTGCTGAAGGCTGGATTTCCAGTGTAACCACTGTACATGACTGGTTCTTTGAACAAGCTGTGAGGTGAAACGTAAAGAAAAAGACCAGGTAAAAATGTGTTCTCAAAGTATTTTTATGACAATGTAATAAGATGCTTAAAAGAAAGGTTTTACAACAGGTCAAGCAACAAGGATATGAAGTAGCTCTAAAGCAGAATAATGGGACATAAATGTTCCCAGATTCCAAGAACATTCTCCAAAATTGACAAAGGATGAAAGCTATATTGGCTTTAAAATGAGGAAATACAGCAAGAGAACCAGTATCACAGGTTTTAGGAAAAGAAAAACATCTTCTAATGAAGTACTGAGGACCATAGCTGAATTCAAACAGAAACACTGGGGTAGTCTTTAAAAATGAGTAAAATCAGCATATCTATGTCAGAAAGTGGCTGGGAGCTGCTCTTGGTTTGTCAGTCTCACTAGCCAGTATTTTTTGTAAATCTATGAATAACCATTTCTTACCAGATAGACAGAAATCTCTGGCAGTGGAGAAGTCGTTGGATATATCTTTACTAATTTGCACAACTTCAAAGTTTGAGATGGATGAATCCATGAGAACAGAGGACACATTTAAGGATTGCCATATATGCAAATACTCTGTAAAATGAACCATGCAAGAATAATATAACTAGACATATCAGTAAAAACTTCAGAAGAAAATAATATAGAAGCAAAAATATTGGAGAGTTCCCCAATGAAAGGCTTTCACCTTCCTTTGCATCAACTGGGAGTAAATGAAATATAACATTCAAAGATCTCTGATTGACTAGAAGGTCCAGTCCCATTTTCAGAGGTCATGTACAACTGGGTTTACAAAGGTATTCTGTTAATAAATAGGTAAATCTGGAGCAGCTCCATCCAAGTTTGCATGTAAATCCATATGATTTAAATAAAAGGTTTCTGAACAGGTCTAATTACATTAAAGGACATGGGTCATAATGCTTGCACACAAGTTCCTGAGCAGGATCCTGCATGTGACTGAGCACTCCAAGAACCTTCAGCAGACACACACATCTATATCTAAAACAGGAGGTGGTTTCCTAAGATAGGCTTCACCTCAGTCATGTGCAAGGTAGATGTCTACATCTGAGTTAATTACACTATACTCCTTGTACTATCAGATGGAACAGACAGGTTTACTTTACAATATCTGCATCCTGGTTTAGATGTCTGCTTCAGCATGAGACAAATCACCCCCAGGAATCCACTGATTACATGATCCAGATGTCCATGTTGTCTGTACAGAGAACCTCATGTGAGCTGCTGAAATGGAGATGTCTCTGTTGCCTGCATGTATCTATGTACAGAGAGCAAGTCCCGACCTTACAGACTAAGTGCAAATGAGACAACGGTTTTTGCAAATGTTATATTTTGTCTTCACTTCCCTTGCAAGCAATTGACCAAACTCCCACAGAAGCACTTGGAATTTTCACAGATTTACTGACTTTTTTTAAAGGTCACAAGGATTATTTTGATCATTTTAATTTGATTTGGTAGACAGAATTACATGAAATTCTATGAACTATGCTAATGTCACATAACTGCTACATAATAAAGAATTAATTCTATTTCATATGTATACATAAATATGTACATATATATGCACACATGTGTATCATATGCATACAATGTGTATATTCACATATCTACATGTACACGCGCATGTACACGTATGAGCGTATATGACTAGTATTCATCAAGAATTATTCTTCTGTCTCACAGCAGATATAAAAAATGCCACAAACATTCTTTTGTCATACACAAACAAATAAAAATATCTACAGGTTCTCAATTTTGTACACAGAAGTCAAAAAAAGAAGTCTTGGGAAAGAATGAGCCTTTAACTATTTTAGTTCTTTTCAAGAGTTCAATATGTTTTAAAAGCAGAAGAGCCCTGCTGTGGCCACAGGAGGTTGGCATTACCATCTCTGTGTAATTGTAGGGTAAGAACAGAGCCAAGTCAGCGGTTGCCTTGCTATTCCTGGTGAGCAGATCCATGTTGCTTGAGTTCATTTGCAATTCATTTAATTAAAGATTTCCTTTAGTCTTCTGGGAAACAGGTGACTTGCAAAGATGGACAAAGTTTCCTTCCTTCTCCACCCCACAGAAAGACAGCTGTGACCATATCACTCAATATCAAATCTGAAGCTGAGGTCTGGGGTTCATACAATCAGGGCTGTGGCATGCCTTCTCCGCAATTTGGAAATCTTGGTGTTGACATACTTGTCCAGTTGATGAGAACCCAAGATACAAAACACACCACAGACTAGCCTGATTGCATCATTCCTTGAACAAACAGGCAGGGAATAGCAATGACTAAATTAGATTTCAAAATTATTTTATTCCAAATAATTCATGACAACACAGGGCAACTGTCACTGCTTTGATGATAAAAGAGTCTTTGCTTTTGCAAGGTAAATCTTTCCCGAGGAAGTGTAAACCTCAAGCATGGGTTATCTCCCAGAGAACAAGCTGGAAAATACTGATGTGCTACCACCATTGCCAAGGCTGTTACCTTAGTGCTAGCTCCTTTGGTCTCACCCTTGCTGAAGAAAATGTCTGATGGAGTGATGAATTGTACTCCATGTACCTTCCCAAACAGCCCAGCCCCAGCTGACTCCTGGGAACAAGAAAGCAGCACTGGGTTCCATGGGTCCTTTTCAACCACTTCAAAATCTTTCTATTCCTGCATATATTTATGGACAACTTTTCCAAGAGATAGAGGCTGAAGTTCTCCAGCTAAGTAGAAATGAAGGTTAATTTTGTATTGCACTGCAATATGTTAAAGACCACTTGACCTTGCAGAGTAGCAAAGTCATCAGCAGCACTATATTAGAGGGAGTCTGAACTCGTAAGGAAGAAATGACCTTGCAATCGCAGCTTGACTTCTGCAACAGTCCCATTGCACTTAATTTTTTTCTTCCCCTTAAGCACTGGCTATTTTAGAGGAACATGGTGATTTTAGACATGTGGAAATTACTATCATTCATACTGACAATGGTTTCTCTATTTTAAGACTAATACGACCTGCTGCATGGCCCTGCTAGAAAAGTTCAGCTTCTACATCTAGGGTGATGGTTTGTAGCATTTATTTAGAAATATACTTAAAAATAGACATCAACTCCATAAGTGATGAAGAATTAACCACTACATGCTCTCCAGAAATTATTTGCCTGCACCACTAGATCCCCCAGGTCTTACTTTTCCAGATTATATATTGTTGGTTTGTGTTTTCAATTATTTCTTTTTTTTTTTTTTCTGAAGAGAAGATTTATTTTTTATCAATACGACTTAAACTATGTTTTTTACATAAAAGCATTGTTGCCATCTCGCACTGTGTACAGTACTAGTAATTGAGGTCCTACTACCGGAACAAGTAATCTCTTGAGGCTCAGACACAAAACTTCAAATTACTATCTGTGGTTCTTTCAAAAAAGAGCCTTGTCTGGATTCCACTGTAAATCAACAAGTCTGCTTTTTGGAAGATAATTTCACCAGACTGACTCTCTTCCCATGGCTTCCCTGACTCATCAAGTGACCTCGGGCAAGTCTCATAAACCTCCTAAGCCTCCATTTGCCCACAGGTCAAACATTCAGAAACGTTCTTACTAAGCTACATTCTACTCTCTCAGGAAAGAAATTCAAAACAATTCCACATAAGCAAAATAAATTGCTTGGATTTACACCTTCAACACTTTAATTTGTCCTCCTGTATCTATTTCCCTGAGGTTTACTAGCTTACCATTACTGAAACCTTTTGAAGGTACTCAAATTAACCTTGTGAGTGCACACTGCCATTATTAGGTACACGTGATGAGTTCTAGATTTGATCATAAGCTATACTTCCTCCTATATTCAAAGATTTTTATTTTATCCCTTTATGTGGGATAGACTCAAGTTAATAACTTTCATTTTAAATACATATAAGTCACAATGAGCACTTTGCAGCCCATGCTAGGCACAGAATAGTGACCACTCATGATGCAAACATCCACAGATCATACATTCATACCTAAAACACATTTTATTTTGCTTGTTCTTTGCACCAAGACTCACAGAAGTGACCCTTGCAACCTCCTACTACCCACATGGGGTTGTTTTTTGGGTTGGTTTGTGGTGGATATTTTCATTCTCAGTCCTGAAGAATTCGTAATCACAGATCAGGTTTATATACTGAGACTTCCAGTGTTTTTCCTTTCTGATCTTCTGCCCAGATGACCCCAGATGCAGACAAATGCAGAAACACTTGTGCTTTTTTCAATGACTGAGCAAAGCCCTTTAACCCAGAGCCATCCATAGCACTACT